AACTATGAAGGAATTAGAAGGCCGCCACAAGTTTTAGCAAAATTCCCTAGTAATATTAACTTTATTTACTTGAGTTCTTTTCATCTTTTATAGTACTATTCTTTAAATGTCACATAAGAGACCCAGGCTTAAACATGTGATATTTACCATCACTTTAAACAAGTTGAATTTGCAAGGCAAGCTATAATATCAGAGAATGCTACAACTTTTGGAAAGAACTTGGAGATCATCTAGTCCAATACTCTTAATTTATAAATAAGGAAACAGCCACAAAAATGTTAAATGTCTTGCTCAAGGTCACCTGGTAAATTAGTAATAGAGCCTATATTAGTATCCAGGTCTCCTTACTCCTTTACTAACACTCCTTTCATTACATCTGACATTTTCTATAATTGCTGTTGATTTCCTCTTAGGTACTAAGTCAAATGAACATGGTATCTGCCTTATTGTTGGCATTATGAGATAGCATTCACCAGAGGAGACTTTGATGGCACTAACCAGCCTATAAGTTAATCTTGTAAGTTCAACTATATTACATAGCAGTAAATATTACTTGTAGCATAGTATACTTGTACACAGGAGTGTGCACCTGAAGATGACATATCAGTTTCTGAATTTGCAGATTTGGTAGGATTTGTTTAATATTAAATAGATATTCTATATGCATGAGGAGTTTGGTAATATTCATTTAGCTACTAAAGAAATGTGGGATCAGAAAAGGAGAGAGAAAAAAAATAAAGCTAACCATATAAACAATTATATCATAAACAAATCTGAAGAGAAAATTCTTTCTTTGGAAAAATATTTCCATGGCCCTATTTATTTTTTTCCAATCTACATGCAAATATATGTTCAGAAATGTGTGTTAAGTTCTCTCAAAATCCAAGGCCTATTAGACTGTCAATTTACAAATGTTGAAATGCAGTTCTCTAGCTCAGAAACTAGGAGAAGCTTGAATCACTGGCCATGCCTTTATTTAACTGAATGTTAACTGCAAGTAGCTCAGAAAAGGACCATGAGACTCAACTGTAGATGCCAAGGTTAAGACTTCCATACACATTTTTATGTTTACAATGGTCAATGAAAAGCCTGTGGATTCTCTAGGTACAGGATCTGCACTTGGTGAAACTGAGCAGCATCTCAGTTTCATCCTCATTAAAGTTCTCACCTAAAATTTATTTGGTGAGTTACAAGGAAATTCCCCTCTTTTGGAAGATTGTCTCCCTTTTCTCTTTAACAAAGACAGCCACTATATACAACCTATAATCAGGCAATATAGAAAGTACACAGAGGTCAACTCAAGCCAAAGCTAGCAGGACTGTGACTGAATGCCAATAGGCAAAGTTAGTTCTAAATATTTGTCTTAATGTTTTCATATTCAGCTTTTAATTGCAAGTCATTTTAACTTCTATTAAAAATCAATGAGAATTGCCTACTGGTCATTAAAAGAAGAATCTTAACTTGATGATATACTATCATGTCAGACAATAAAGTGGTACTTGGAAATGTTATCCTTCTATTCTTCCAAAATTCAATCTGAAACTCTTCTAAAATGATCCAGAAGGGTGATATCAAAACCACATATTATCAAGGGGGGCTAATCAAATGTCAACTATCGAATTAAAGTAACCAAAACAGAAACCCTGATGCCATACCAAAGTGGAGGACAGCCTGATTTAAAGCAGAATGATGTGTTTAGAGTTCTAATAGTGACATCTCCCTAGCTTTAACTTATAGATAATAGTTCCCTAAGAAAGCATGTGCCATACCCAAACATGTGCCAACTTCAGCACTCAAGCAAATATAAAGCCTATGGAATAATTGTAACTATAAGACATCTGTGCCCTGCATGCTCTGGGCTCTGGCCAGAAGGCATCTGTTTCTGGCATCTTTTCTATTTTTCTATTGTCCCCTTTCTGATGTTTATTTATTATAAAGCAATATTATAATAATATGAAAGAAAAATTTTAAAGGAAAAATAATGTAGCATAATCCCACCACCCTAACACAACTGATTTCAATTATCTGTGTTCCCAGTCTTTTTCCATATGCACACTTATTTTTACATAGCTGTAATCCCTGTTTATGTTATTTAAAAGTGATTTATAGATTCTTTCTGAGAACTGGCAGCCTCATTAGAAATAAACAACCCATTGAGCAATGTAATATAATGTAATATAACTATTTACACAATTTTTGAGCTGAGAAATATTATTTATCGACAAACTTCTCAAACTATCAAAACATTTATACAGACAACAGGAAGCAATTTCATATTTCTTTTTTCTTTAGCAATGGAATGTGCTTCACAGGGGAAGGATAGAGTAGGAATCAGATGATTAAACTCAAATGATGGAATGCTATTCACAAGCCTGAAAGGAATCTGGATAACACAGTTAAAGAATAAATACTTGAATTAAATCTTATTATATGACTTGGCCATCCAGTAGCCAAAATGTGACATGGACACACAAATATTTACAATGACACATAGATGAGATCAGCAAGAACGAAGTCATTACCCAACATGGTGACTGATTTGAGGAAATTGTGTCATCCAAAACTCCTCATGGGATTATGACAACGCACCGGATCCTTGTTATAGCAATTTTTTCTTAAATAAATAATCTCTACTGTGCTTCACACCCTTCCCTGACTTTCCCACTGCCCTATTCCAATCGCAGGACATTTTGGAATGAACATTCGATCATGTGCCCTCATTATTACAGGGCACACTAGCATTTTTAAAGATCTGGATAGATTCACCTGTGTCAAGATGAGCTCTAAAAAATCCAGGGAAAGGGAATAAACTATGAACCATCTGGAATCCAAGTTGCTCTAGTGTATCAAATGTGAATTCTTCAGCATCATTTTTAGCTTCTCTCTTAATAATTATTAGAAATTTACATAACTCTCCAATGGGGGAAGGGACTTTAGAAACTGTTTTTTATTTTAAATTTGACATAGATACAAATTTGTAAGAGTAAAGCCTATTGGGATATATTATAAAATCTTGGTAGTGGGATGTTATAAAGTACCTGGCTCCTCATGGTTAATATGCTGAACTGAAATCATAAAAGAGCAGCCATTTCTTTGCCTACAGTGATATGAAGAATCACTGCTCCAGGTCTTCCCCCACAAAGAGGCCTTTATGTTATAAAAGGGATGCTATTTGACAACTAGGAATTCCCAACCAGGTTTGAGGCTCTCTCCATTGGCAGGATATAGTTATCAATGTACTAAATTATTTTTGCATCCCATGTATTATTTCATTGAATTCCCTGACACTATGAATGAAAAAAACAACATTCAAATATTTAATTTTAAATGAAATAAAAATTAACACTCCCCCTTCTCTCATTAGGACAGTGTGGCATTAAAATATTCAGGCCTAGTCATGTTTTTGCAAAGTATAATATGGTATGCTTCAAATAAATATTTCCATTTGATTTTCTTTTCACATTTGTTGTTTTATCCCATTGTGGACATTTATGGGATGGGGGTTCAAGCCTCTCCAAAATTTTATAGTTAAATAAAACAATAAGAAAATAGGAAATCCACCAGTGGTGTCATCACCTAAACATAAATATGCACTATATGGTTAGCAGAAACTCTGAAGAAAGTACTTTCATTATAAGGAATAAATGGATGGTTAGATGGATAGATGTACCTCTGCAGAGAAGGAGAGAGACCCAAGGAATTTACCTCTTTCCTCCTCTTGCTTAATGTGGATAAGTTCTATTCAGATATACTACTAATCAAGAAGATTTCTAAAACATAAATGGTTAGCTTTTAAAAGGCTTCGAGAAACAACTTTGCAGAATTTATAAAATTTCACAATTCTTTCGAAAGAGAAGCATATCTTTTTCTATGCAGACATCCTCTAGTTATTTTTCTACTCTCAGAAGATTCAGGAAATGCCAACTGTTGATTTTTTAATAAATAGGTACATGGTGAAATAGTAGTCAAATTTTCATATTTTCTCCAACCCACAAAAGTAATTCAGTTGGACTTATATTTCTTAGGGTATATGATTGCACGCCCTAATTATTTTCACTGGAGGACTTCCAAGTCTTTATGAGCATGTTTCTGAAATTCAAAAGCCCAAAACACTAAGCATGAACACACTATATCCTGAAACAGAAATTGGTGGTATATAAAGAAAATTGAAACAAGTACTTATAGCCAAATGTTGATAGGGATATAGTTTTCACTGACTTCCTATTTCTTACAGAGTTGAATGATTACAAAAAACAAACAAACAAAAAACCTACAAAAAACAAACAAAAAAAACAACCCTTTGTTTTCCAGATTTTTTTTTAAATTTTAAGATGCTATAAATTGTCAAAATAAACATTTTTTATCCTAAGCAAATGTTAGTTAATGGGTTTGTTTCCCCCTGATGTGTCTATTTTAAGGGCATACAATGTCATAAATACAAGATAGGGTTAAATTGAGTATTTTTAATTTTTACTTATTGTTCAATAAGAATTTCAGTACTTCATACTTATTTTCCTTTTTTGGTTCTTGGATAGAGTCACATCTTGTTTTAAGTATGATTTCTTTCATGAGGATTTCCTAGGTTTGGGACCTGGACTCACTCATCAGGAGTCTCACAGTTTTGGTATGTCCTTTTTCACATATCATGAAGTTGAACAAGCTGATTTACATAAATGATAAATCAACTGCCTCTTAAGCATCATCATGAAAATGTGACAGGATTTCACCATCAGAGATTTATTTATAGAGGTTTGTAAAGCCTTTTCTGAACACACATATTGCTCAATGCTTTTGGAAAGTATCTTAAAAGAAACCTTTTCCAGTGCACGTGCAGGAAAACAGGTACACAAACCAAGCCACCACTGTAGAAAAAGAATAAAAAAAAAATTGCAATTCTATTAGGGCATGGACTTCCACATATTCACATAGTACTTGCTCTTTTTTTTGTACATTTGTTTGTTTGTGATTTTTTTTGCTTGTTTGTTTTGCTTTTATTTTATTTTTTGCTTTCTTTTTTTTTAAGAAAAACGTTTTGACATCTTTTTTTTTTTTTTTTTTCTGGACGACTAATGACAATGCAAGTGAAAAACATCACATTGGGTAAGGAGCTTTGAAAGAGGTTTGAATGCAAGAGGGACTATTTTCTAACTTAAAAACAAACACAACACTATGAAGAGGGAGTGTGCACCTTTGAGAAACCTTTTTCTTCAAAGTGAATGCACAAAATGAGAGGATTCACTACTGGCTCTTTCGCTTCACGGTGGAAGTGACCACTTTATGGGCACTTCGACATTGCTGCCCTGTTTGGGCTGCGATTCAGGCTTACAAATAAATTACATAATCTTAGGGAGTAGGAAAAGGGCTTGTAAGAAGTTTTTATTCATTAGAAAGTTAAAGAACCCCCACCCCATTTGACTGTCATTCTTCCTTCTTTCCTGTAGCAGAGTTTTAGTTCAGTCTTACTCATGAGGGGAGATGGTGCAAGGTAAGGCTTGCAGTCCTAGCGGCTGCTGTTCTTAATTGCTTCCTTTGCAGCGATAATCAGAGGAGTCAGGCTGGAGAGAGGCTTGGCTAATTTTAAAAATGGATGCTGCAAAAGAAAAAAAACACACAAAGGAATAACTGGAATTCTTTCATCCAAACAAGTATATTACTTTACATTTTCAAGCAGCCATTTTTTTCATTAAAATGTATTTTGAGCACCCAATTAAAGATTATTTTATTAAAATAGTGCCAGCGGGGACTCAGAACTGTTGGACATTGAAATTGGGACTCAAACATTTTTTGTTATTATATGTTTATTTATAGTTTGCAGAGGCAAGATTTTTTAAAGGAAAGAAATAAGGAAAACATAGATATAGAGGCAAAGAAGCATTGAACAGACTGCCAAACTACAGCGGGAAGGTAGGGGAGGTTGGGGAGGGTTGGGGAAAAGGGAAGAAATCAACCGAAGGACTTGTATGCATGCATATAAGCATAATCAATGAATACAAGATACTGGAGGGGGGGGTGGCAGGTGAAGACATGTACTGGGGGATAAGGGAGGCCGGGGGAAGGTCAATGGGGAAAAAAAGGAGACATATGTACTACTATTTGTAATACTTCAAACAATAAAAAAACCAACACTTCATATCTATTAAACTACTCTGAACTATAAAAAAATAAAACAAAATATTACCAGCTTTTGTCCTTCATATGTTTTTTCCCCCCCTTCAGTATTATGAAATACTTTGGAAGCTGACTGGCAGAGCTATTGAAACTCAGAGTTGAGGTGCTGTAAGATCTCAGTGTTTACAATAGTCTGATTTTCTGAATTTCTTAAACTTGTGATTTTATTAAGAGTAGCTCATATGCTTGAAAAAATGTCTTTAACCCTGACCCTGAAAATAGTGGCTTCCTAACTGCTAAATCCAATACTATGCATCCACCATTTCTCTTTTGGCTCCTCTACAGTACTTAATACAAGTGAACATTTCTTCCTTCTTTGAGATGGCTTCCTCTTTGGGAGCCTGTGACATTTACTATCTTGATACTTTTCCATAAGCATGCTCACTGACTACTCCCTTCCTATCTTCCCTGTTTTCACCTCCATCTACCTCCCATATACTAGAACTTAGCTCTCAGCATCCTCTCTTTCTAATTTAATTCATTTGAGAGATCATTCCCTTTCATGGTTTCAACCTCTCATCAGTTTTAGGGAAATGACTCCCAAATCTATATTTTATGACATGATCTCTTTCCTTAATTTTGATCCTATTTTTCCAATTGCCTACTGGATATTTCATTTTAAATGTTCTTCTGTCACCTTGAATTCCACATTTAAAAATATATGTTAAGATACCACACAGGTTCCTCTTGTGTGATGTAAACCATAGGGGCTTTGGATTCAGAGGACCTAAATTCAATCATCTTTGCTTCTTACAATAGTTAAATCAGGTAAGGTAAATAACAGTTCCTTGTAAACTACATAGAAGCAAAGACATGTTGCCATTGCATTATCCTATATCACTTTGGCTTTTATTGAATGCTACCAGTGATTATATATTCTGAAGTCATTTTTATCTTCTTTTATCTTATGTTCTACATAAAATCAGCTATCAAGTACTTTCTTTTCAATGCTTTATATAATGATATCTTGCTTTCCCTAGTTCAGGCCTAATCAACTTTAATTCTGAACTATAACTATAATTTCCTCTTGATCTCCCAACTCCATTTTTAAATGGTGCTAATTTTTATTGCATACTACCAGAAAATTTTCCTAAACAAAGCTTTCATCATTTGATACCATCAGATATCTTCAGTATTTCCTCACTGTCTACAATCCCATCTCTAGCCTAGTGTCAAACCCTCTATGGTTTTATCTCCTGTAACTTCCCACTTTAACTCTTCAGCTATACTTTCTGTTTTCTGTTCCCTTAAACCTTGCCCACATATCTTTGGTCACACTATCTTTCAATCATTTGTAATTCCTGCCCCCTTTTTCTTCAACCTATCTCAAACTGATCTGTCCTTCAAAACCCAGCAGAACTCCTTCCTGTTTACAGACATTTTCTGATCACCTATAAAATCATGGCTGTCACTTGGTTTGAATGAGTCTCAAAACAACCTTGCATTTTTTTTTATACCCAAGGAGATTGTGAACTTCTGGAGAGGAGGAATCACCCTTAAGAGTTTTGTGTCCCCACTGCACTTATGCCTTGCAAATAAGAGTTTCTCAATAAATATTAATTAGTGGACAGAGGACTGTAGGTCATATAGAAAGTCACACAAATACTTAATACCTATGTCTTGTCTCAAGCATTCCAGTGGTGTAAATGTCATGCAACTCTTTCCTTTCTAACCTCTCACATGATCTCACTTACATTTGGGATATAATGATTAACACAATTTGATAAACAACAATAGATCCAGAGACAAATGGTAGGGGATTTAGAGAGCAATCAAAGGACTTGTATGTATGCATATTAGCATAACCAATGGACACATTGGGGGGGGGCTTGGTGGGGTAGGAATAGCTTGGGGGTAAATTGGGGGACAAGAAGACATATGTAAAACTTGAGACAATAAAAATAAATAACTAAATGACATAGGCTCAAGCGAGAGAATGAAGTTATATGTACTTAAGGCGATACACGGGTTATTGCTAATATGTACAGCATAATAGAGGCCTGGTACACAAAATTCTTGCACGTGGGGGGGTGTGTCCCTCAGCCCAGCCTGCACCCTCTCCAATCCAGGACCCCTCGAGGGATGTCTGACTGCTGGTTTAGCCCTATCCCCGAGATTGGGCCTAAACTGGCAGTCAGACATCCCTCTCACAAACAGGACTGCTGGCTCCTAACTACTCACCTGCCAGCCTGCCTGATTGCCCCTAACTGCCCTCCCCTCCCCTGCCAGCCTGATCTCCCCAAAATGCCCTCTCCTGCCAGCCTGATCACCCCCAACTGCCCTCCCCTGCCAGCCTGATTGCTCACTACTGCCCTCCCCTGCTGGCCTGATCTCTCACAACTACCCTCCCCTGCCACGACCTGCCTCCTCCACCAGGACCTGCCTCCTCCACACGAAGTGGCAGAGAGACTGGTCTGCCTCCTCGACGACATTGTGCAGAGATGCGGGACTCCCAGGCCTCACTGTGTGGAGCAGCTGCCAGACACCACCTCCTCTGTGAGTGCGGCCATCTTGTGGCAACTTTGCTTGAGGGTGTTGCATGAGGGTGTGATGCTACCTAGGCTTTTATTATATAGGAAATAAATATCTTCATTTATCTTTGGAACATGCATCAGGATGTATATATGGAGTGGTGGGAAGAGTGAAAAGATGTACAAGTGAAGCACTCAAAAGTTCAGATTTTTCATCTGTAATTTGAGATGGGATTAATTAGAGGATTAATAAGGAACCATTCCAGATTTGACATTGTAAGTTTCTATGAGAGCCTGTGAAATAAAGACAGCAAAAAAGAAAAGGTGTAGCTTCCTTAATTCCTTCAAGTGGTTTATCCCTGGTGTGATTTAGGTTGGGGTAGGATATTTTTTGCCTATCTCAGGAGGGAGTTCAGGAGAAACGGAAATATTTTTCTGTTTCGTTTTTGTTTTTGCCTTGAATGGAATCTATGGTTGTATCTTTTGTTTAAATTGAGTATGTGGTCAAAGTCAGAGACAGAACAGTCATTACTCTTGAATGTTACATGGCTTGATACATTTCCCTGAGGAACAGTCCCCAGCAGTGAAGGTACATATGTAATACTGAGCATGTGTTGCTTTATCAATATAGGTATGGACATACCTTGTTTGATTACACTTCATTTTATTGCACTTCATGGATGTTGCATTTTTTTAAAATTGAGGGTAAGACTTCTCATCAAAAAAATATTATCTCCCTTTATTGTTATTTTGGCTTCATTGTGGTGATCTGGAACCAAATTTGCAATGTCTTTAAGCTATTCCTGAGATATTGCTCTAAATTGGTTTGTGTATTTGTGTGGTGGAAAGTCAGACAATCCAGGGATCAAATCCCAGTTTACCACTCAATAGCTATGTGAAGCTCAATTTTTACATCTGTAACTTGGGATACTTGCCCTATAGGGCTGTTATAAGAACTAAATGAGATAATGTGGGTAAATAATTTGGTAAATCATAGGTACTAATTATTATTGTATATACTAATCCCTGAGAGCCATGAAAAGGACAAATGGTTACTCACACAGGCAACCAGGTGCCTACCATTTGACATCACAAGCAAAGGGGCTTTGACCAGTAAAACTTTAGAGTAGCAAATGCCATGGAAATAATTGCATAATTATGTAGAAAATTACCTTAAGCCAAGAGCACCTGCATACAATATCCAGGAGCACAAGTAAAGTTACTAATGAAACAGCAACACCAGATATTCAAATTGGTTTTTCCCTTGCAAAATAAGACTCCAGGAAGAGCAAAAGAGATTTATATATTAAATGGCCAACTTTTCAGAAGAAAGGCAACATGTCAATCAATCATGTACCAGATGCAAGTTTATACTGATGTGCCTATGGTCTATAGTTTAACTCTCACTAGATATTTCTTAACAGAGTTCTCTTGCTGTCTCACATTGAAGTTATAAAAGCCCAATGTAATGACTCTTTGTACTTGTCTTATTTTATTTTCACCTGCAAAAGCTCCTTGGCAGATCCTCGCCTATCCACATCCATCTCAAGACAGCGATTTAAAAAGTCACGGAATACAGCTGAAAGTCTTTCTGGATTCTGAAGTTCTGGGGTTCCATTAGTAGCTATCAGATATAATGCCTATAGAAAAAATATAGAAATCTATTCAGCACATACATATTAGGATTATGAGTTGGCATAGAAGATACAAATCCAGTTTCTTCTGGTTTATATAGTAGATCTTGAAAATTATAGCATACATAATGGCATTGACATATATTTCAATGTTTCTATAACATTTAGAAATTATTACTTTTGGCAGTAACTAAGGTGACAGTCAGATGCCCCATCCCCCCCAAAAAAATTGGAAATTTTTATGAGGTTGTTCTGTGAAAGTTAAACCAATAAAAATCCTTATACTATAATGAATCTGTGATGAACCACCTAGAAAATTAAACCAAGAATTGCCTGCAAATCTGTGACTCTAAAGAGTTGGTAAACACATATACATCCCATCTTGTTGACCTGAGTATATATAACCTCTGGAAGGCATGGTTGCAAAGGTGATTTTAATTTATTAAGTGTTTATCTGGTTTAAAGAATATTTGTGAGCAGCCCAGGGATGAACAGAGTCCAGTATAGAGTTAGATAACTACAAGAAGAACCAGCATATGACAGTGCCTGGATGAGGGGTAACCTCTGGGGCCTAAAAATCCAAGTACTTTTGTACTGTGGCAAATGTATGTCTAAATATTATATTTTAATTAGAATCCCCCCCGAAGGTCTACCTATGAGGAAAAACTGACATTAATAGTCCTGGAACCAGACAGTTATGTATCCTGCTATAAAATAATAAGATGCAAATAATACTTAAATCACTGTTGTGTAAGGCTGTGAAAAATATCTATATATTCATGGTCTGTTGACAAAACCAAAGACTCCAGGTTGAGAGTCAGACCCAAGACCATCATTAACTCACAAAGCCCATCATTCAAAGGCTCTTGACAGCCAAAAAAAATCCTGGCAATTCATTATTATCCTCTAAGCAAATAATTCTAGGGCATTAAATATGCATAAGGTATTATATTAGACATTGGATATTGAAAGATGAATAGAGAATGTCCTATATTCAAAGGTCACAGAATTTAGTGAGGGAGAGAGACATTGAGAGATTCAATACAGTGAGATAAGACCTAATCAAGAAACTTAGCAAGTACTAAGTAAACACAAGGATAAAGCAATTTACACCAGAGCTCAGAGAAAACTTCACATGGGGGTTGGTATCAGAACAGCATCTTGAAGGTTACATAGGAGTTTTCCTGCAGGTATTGTCACCAGGGTTATCCTGCCTATGCAACCAATCCCCTAAATACTATGAAGACATGCTCCCTCCTGAACTTGCTTGGGCTTTGCAGCAAATTATCAATCCCTTTTCCTCTTCCCCACTATGGCTACTAATAGTTTTAGTAAAAGTACTGGAGGCCTTGTGCACAAATTCGTGCATGGGTGGGGTCTGACTGGCCCACCCTCATCGGGGCTGATGGGGGCTGGTCCAGCTGACAGGGAGGGGATGCGGGAGGTTGGCCGGCCGGCCCAGCCCCCAAATGGGCTGGTTGGCAGCTGAAGTGTGTGTCATAGCAACCAGTCGCTCTAGTCATTCTGGTCACTCCAATCACTTGGCATATATATATATTTCTATCACCCTGGCTGGTTGTCCAGTGGTTAGAGGGTCAGTGGAGTAGTGAAGGGCCTCAGGTTTGATTCCAGTCAAGGTAACAAGGTAACATACCTAGGTTGCAAGCACAATTGACACCTTATTCAGGGCATGCACGGGAGGTAACCAATCAATGTGTTTCTCTGACATTGGTGTTTTCTCTTTTTGTCCCTCCCCATTCTCCCTCCCTTCCACTCTTTAAACAATCAATGGGGAAAAAAAACTCTTAGGTGAGGAATTAACAATAATAATAATAAATTTTTTAAAACTGTATTTTTATCAAAGTCATTTTCCAGGCCAAATTTCAACAGCTGGTGAGAAGATCTCCTTTCCAGAAACTTCCAGATATATACTGTAGAAAGGGTTAAGAAGGACTGCTTAGTCCAGTGGCCATCAACCTATCAACCTATAGAGTGCACTATAATCACAGCTTGTTAAAACCCAGATTCCTGGATCACCCCATTGTAAATCAGATTCAGTAAATCAAATCCAGAGAGATGCCCAAGAATATTCATTCTAATAAGTTCCCTATTTATTCTGAAGTTGCTGGTTCCAGGACTACACTCTGAGAAGTGGTTTATTCCATCCAGCTATTAAGAAGCAGGCTAAACTAGAGGTTCCCACAATCACCTGGGGAGATTTAAAAAATTCGCCATATCCAGTTCTCAGCTAATATCAATGAAACAAAAATCTCTGGGAGTGGAACTCAGGCATTGGTATTTTTTAAGCTCTCCAGGAGATTCCAGTTTACAACAAACATTGAAAACCACTGGTCAAGGACTTGCAGCCACATAGTAACTCATAAGTACATCAAATTCAAGAGCCACAAAGTCCCATAGAGGGGGATTCTCTTGCGTAGTAATGAGTGGGAATTACAATGCCACATGTTTTTACAGAGTGAGATGAAAGTTTTTTCCCTCCCCAGGATATTAAAAAAGCCCACATTTAAATACACCCTACTTCAAACAAACAACTTCCCATCCTTCATCCCTCCTATCTAATTATAAATTACTTTATTGATGAACAGCAAATGCAGGTGGCAGCTATTAGAACTTCCATGCCATACAAGTCAGTGGCAAATCTAGTTTTGACTAAAAGGAGGTAGTATAGAAAAAGAAACCATAAACTGGCTTTTAGGAAGGCATTGATTGGGGTAAAATATAGTTTGCACCCCTTTTCTCTCTTAGTCTGCTTCTTTTCTCTCTCTCTCTCTCTCTCTCTCTCTCTCTCTCTCTCTCTCTCTCTCTCTCTCTCCTGTTTCCCAATTTCATTTTGACATTACTTTTTATTTATTTTTATTTTTTCTATCTCTTTATTTATTCCTGGTTTTTTCTCTTTTTTTCCTTCTTTCTCTCTTATCCCCTAATTTGCCTTTCTCCAGTGGTCACCTTTATTAGAGGTTATTAATATTGCAAATACATTCCTGTTCAGTGCCTTTTGTGTTGTACCTGGTAGTGTTATATTTTGTGCCTTTAAATCAATGCAGAAAGAGAACTACATATCCAGACATCCTAAAAAGAGAGACCATGGGGAGACAAAGAAATAGCCTGCACATGAAAGAAAAGTAGGCATCACCAGAAAAGGAAGTAAATGAGTTATAGGCAAGCAACTTACCAGAGCAAGAATTCAGAGTAATGACCATAAGAGGGATAAAAAGAATGGAAGAGAAATTTGACAATATGAGTAATAATCAAAAGGAAATGATGAAGAACCAAGAAGAAATGAAGATGAACCATGAAGAAATGAAAAATTACATCGCTACTATGAAGAACTCAATAAAAGCATCAAGAGTAGACTAGAAGAAGCAGAGGACCATATCAATGAGCTAGAAGACAAGATGAAAAAATATACCCAAATAGAGCAGCTTCTAGAAATAAAAAATTAAAAAGCAGGAGGAGAGCCTAAGGGAACTTTGGAACAATACAAAACAAAACAATATTAGAATAATAGGGGTTCCAGAAGGAAAGGAAACTGAGGAAGACATGTAAAACGTATTTCAAGTAATAATGACAGAAAACTTTCCTGAGATGTAGAAGAAAAAAACCCACACAAATCCAAGATGCTCTAAGAGTCCCAAGCAAAATAAATCCCAAAAGATGGATGCCAAGGCACATTGTTAATTGATTTTGAAGTCAAGCATTTGTAATGATTGGGTATTCTAAAATTCTCAGAAATATAAAAGCTAACCCAAAAGCTTTTCAGGTTCATGTGTTCTAAAATTACTCTTTAGTAAGTAAACTTCGTTGGTTTAAGTAGAAAAAAAATAAATAAATTGGCAAACACCAATGACAAATTAAGAATCTTAAAAGCAGCCAGAGAGAGACAGAAAGTTACACATAAAGAAACCAATATCAGACTAGCAACTGAAACTCATCAGGCCAGAAGGGAATATAATGAAATATACAAAATCATGCAAAGTAAGGGTCTGAATCCAAGAATACTGTACCCAGCAAGGTTATCAATCAAAATTGAAGGTGAAATCAGAAGCTTCACAGATGAAAAATGTCTAAGGGAATTTATCTCCACCAAACCAGCAATGCAAGAAATGCTAAAGGGTCTACTGTAAAAATAAAGAAACAGGAAGCAAAGAAGGAACACAGGGGTATAAAATGAAAATGGCATAAAATAAGTACCTGTCAATAATAACTTTAAATGTAAATGGATTAAATGATCCAATCAAAAGACATAGGGTAACAGATTGGTTAAGAAAACAAGACCCATATATCTGCTGTATACAATAAACTCATTTCAGAGAAAAAGATGCACACTGACTGAGGGTGAAGGGATGGCAAAAGGTTTTCCAGACAAATGGAAATGAAAAAAAAGCTGGGGTAGCAATACTTATATCTGTCAAATTAGATCTCAAAGTGGAGGACATAACAAGAGATAATGAAGGCCACTTCATAATACTAAAGGGAGCAATCCAACAAGAAGAAATAACCCTGGTAAATATATATGCATCCAATACAGAAGGACCCAAATACATAAAAAGAAAAAAAAAAACTGCTGGAGGACATAAAGGGAAAGATTAATAGCAATTCAATCATAGTAGGAGATTTTAATACCTTATTGTCAACTTTGGACCAATCACCTAAACAAAAAAAAATCAGCAAAGAAACATCAATCCTAAATGATGCACTAGACCAGATGGAATTAATCGACATCTTCGGAACATTTCACCCCGAAGCCATAAATATACATTCTTCTCAAGTGCACATAGATAATTTTCAAAGATAGACCACATGTTGGGACATAGGCAAAGTCTCTGCAAATTCAAGAAGATAGAAATCATATCAAACATCTTCTCAGATCATAGTGGCATAAAACTGGAAATAAACAATAAAAATAATCCAAAGAAATCAAACACATGGAAACTAAACAGCATGCTATTGAACAAGGACTGGGTTACCAGAGAAATCAAGGAAAA